GCGCAGAGAGTGTGCGCGAGCTCGCGCTAGTGCCAACGCGCCCGCGAAAACAAGTGAGAGCGCGAGCGCGCGCGCACACACGCATTCATTCATACACTCTCTCTCTCACTCACTCACACACACACACACTTATATATATATACATGTATATATATATATATATATATATATATATATATATATATATATATCTCTCTCTCTCTCTCGCGCGCTCGCGCGCGCGCGCGCGCGCTCTCTCTCTCTCTCACTCTCTCTCACTCAGTGTATATGTATATATATATATATATATATATATATATATATATATATATATATATATATATATATATATATATATATATATATATATATATATATATATATATATATATATATATATATATATATATATATATATATATATATATATATATATATATATATATATATAATCAAACTCTTAACTTTAAGGATTGGTTAATGGTCTTGTACTTTTGAATTGTGAACCCCAGTCGATTCTGACTCGTGAACCGTGGGTTCACGACAATGATCATGTCTCCATCCAATTTTTTCATTTATGTTTAATTTTTCATGAATATTTATTTTTCATTTGTTCTAAAAATAAGAAAAATATAATAAACATTCAAGAGTAAATGAGACAACTCGAAATGAAATGGAGACTTGATTATTGTCGTGAACCAACGGCGTCCAACTCACAAAATGAACACTCCTTCTCACGAACACCGAAAACACCCCTCCTCACAAAATGAGTCGGTTCTCCACCAGCGGTCTCCAGCTCTTTGCTCGCCGCCACTGCGCCCTTACCGTCGGCAGCGTTCGCAATTTCTCACCTCCGGACGCCTGCTTCTCCACCGGAGGACGCCGCATCTCCGCCCTTACCAACGGGGTCGTTCAGCCTGTCCAGAACTCGCTCCGCTTCTCCGCCGCCTGCTTGTCTACCGGATCTCGCCGCCTTTGCGCCCTTACCGACGGCAGCGTTCCACATTTCTCACCTCTGGACGCCTGCTTCTCCACCGGAGGACGCCGCATCTCCGCCCTTACCAACGGCGTCGCTCGGCTCCAGCCCTCGTTTCCATTTGGTAAATTTTTATTTTATCCTTTTCTCTTCTGAGTTAATCACGTTCTATTTAAACGTTTTGTCAGTCGCGCTTCTTTTAATAACACGCTTTTTACTTTCTCACTAATAACACAAAGTTGAGTTCACTGACTGTCTTCTCTTCCCGGTTGCTGTGCGAACGACCACACCAAGCGCCTCCCCGACGCGCGTCACTTGGGTAAAATCTTTCTACAGATTCGGCAAACCCGATTTATAGTGTTCTATTTTTGAGTTTATCTTTTTCAGGTATTCATGTTTTTTTTCCTTTTTGAAATTAATCAGCTGTGCCCTGTACCAACTGTAACCTTGGCGGAATTCCCTGTCAAGAGGAATCGCCGTCGGTCCTGGAGGAGCTGCCGATCGTGTCGTATTCCGAAATGCCCCAACTGCCCGTCGTGTCTTTTGCCAATATGCCCGGTTTGTGAAGAACAATTTGAAGACAACAAAAAGATGAAAGCTCACTACCGTGACGAGCACGAGAAGTTGATGTCGGCCATCATGCGGATCATCGATAAAATCTTACATATCATCCGGAATAAGCTGAAAATAGTTTTCAAGTTGCTGCAGTTTCTTTTCTTCATTCTTAGCTTAATTCGTTGTCTACCGGGTTTTAGTAAGATGTTTGTTTGATGATATTCGTATTTAGTCAAGCCCGTTACTGCATTTAAAACCCGTAAATAAATGTTATTATTTGGTTAAATTAATAGCACCCATCAAATGATCTTGTAGGGTTGATTAAAAGAGAAAAAAACAAGTTTATTTTTAAAATAATATTTTAATTGTGTTAATTAAAATATTTTTTAGACAATATATTGAATACCTGAATTTAACATTTTAATACAGATTTAATATAACGGATCAAACATCTTAATAACTATTTAATACCAGAATTTAACAAATTTGATATAGTTGATCAAACATGTTAATAACTAAACAATTAATTAGTCAATGGAATATTAATCCAATCTCACCTAATCCAATGTAAGTCGATATAGGTAACAAACGAGGCCTTAAAGTTTAATGTATTTTTTGGGCCCTAATTATATAATGTTTTTCTATTTATAAAAATTGAATGATAAAAATAATAATAATTTGGAAAACGAAGAATAATGATGAGAAATTCGGAGATAGGTACGCAACTCAAGTTCATTGTATAAAAATTAATTCGAAAAATTCTATAAATACAATATTATGAACTTGAAATTCGTTGTATAAAAATAAATTCGAAAAATTCAAAATTTTTTTGATAAATAATTCAAGAGCAATTTGCTTAAGTAGTAAGTACACGTCATTTCAAAGTCCAAGGCCGTCACAATTTGAACTGAAATCCCATCGAGTTTTTTTTGGCGCCGGTATTTAATTCCATCGTTATCCGCTGCCGCCGCTGTGGAGCCGCCGTCGATTCCGTATGGCGGCTCTTCCAACCACAGTACACTATCCCGCCTCCTTCAACGATCTCAACAGCAACTCATCCCTACTCATTACGTCCAAAGCCAAACTCAAATTCCCCAATTCACCCTCAAATAAAACCCTAGCTCATACTTTCCATTGTATCCGCGGTTCCAATTCTGTTTGCTCACGCAGAAATGTATATGTTTCAAATGTACTTCACCGAAATCGAGAGGCTATTTGTGACCAAATGAATGGAACTCTTCACAATTTGAAGAGATGGTTCGAGTTTATCCGGTCTATTTTTCCGGGTGGAAGTTGGTGGAATCTTAGTGATTCTGAGCATAAAATCGACGGCTCTACCATGGCAGCGAAGCCTTTGACCGTTTGGAAAGCTCTGAGACAAATGTGGGTGCTCGTAGCTGATGAGAAATGGATTTTGTGCGCAGCGTTTGTTGCTCTGACTGTGGCCGCGGTGCGTGTGCTCATCTACATAGTTATTTTTTTTCTTTCTGGATGTATTTTTATAGTCGTATGTATATGTATATGTAGTGTTTTTGAGTGACTGATTCTATTTTGATTAATTAGTATTATTAGAGGATTGCTGTTGTTTTCCGTTTGGTACACTATGGTTTCATGTTTATCATTGATTCGATTTCATGTTGTAATTGCTGTATATATTTAGTGAATTATCGAGATTGAGATTGACGATTTTAATGATACGACTTCGTCAAATTGAAAATGCTTTAGATGAATGCTCTTGCGCACTGCAGGTCTCTGAGATATCAATGCCAGGTATTCTGACGGCAACGGTGTTTTCAGCTCAAAATGGTGATATGTTGGTTTTCTATCAGAACTCTCAGCTTCTGATTTGGTTGTGTTTCACCTCAGGAATATGCAGGTTATATTATTTCATTTTATTTTCATGTTTTTTGCCCCTCATTTTCTCCTTCGTTAAAATCTTATTATGATTAATATTTTACCATGTGGTCATCTTTTCCTGAACCAGCGGCTTGCGAAGTGGATGTTTTGCTATTGCAAATACAATTTTGGTGCGTCTAACAAGTTACGGCTTCTTTTGTCATTTTTATTTTCCTTGATGTTCTAGTGTTAAAATTTTGAGAAGCTACGAGCTTAAAATAACACAGTCATCAATTGGGATTTTCAAATAAATTAAGATGTGGTTTCTATACAACCCGTACCATGTCTTCGCATGCCTACCTTTTTAATCAAGAATGCAGTCATCATCTGTTGCTTCTCATGCTTGCAGGTTAAGCGTCTTAGAGAGACTCTATATAGCTCTCTTCTTCTTCAGGTTTGAATCGTATCTACGTTGCATAATGGAGTTGAAATATTGAATTATGTTCCTTTCCATACGTTTCTTTGTAGTTTTTCTATCAATTATGTAAGTCTTACGTTTAATGCAGGATATATCCTTCTTCGACAAAGAAGCTGTTGGCAATCTGACCAGCAGAATCAGCACAGATTGCCAGCGGTTATCTCATACCATTGGAAATGATATACACTTGATCCTACGGAATATTGTTCAGGTCACAATTCTGGTTGGTTTTATATTCATCCGTGAATTTGTTGTTATTGTGTAACTGTAATAGACTTATAGTTTTGCAGGGGATAGGTGCATTTATCACCTTGATGACTTTGTCGTGGCCCCTGGCACTTTCATCTCTGGCTGTATGCGTTCTTCTGTCTGCGATTTTCCTTATTTATGGACAGTAAGTGTTGATACATTTCTGTGTATTTTTATGACAGCTGATTGCATGAACATTTGGTTTGCACTCTAGATGTTTAGTCGGCAAATTGGCTAATAATATCATGGGTTGTCACATGTAAAATTAGAATCTAGTCCGGTGTAGTAACTATAGAAACGGAGTTTATTAAGTATTATATTCAGATCTGGGTAATATGTTTAGAAATATTTTTGTTTGTTCAACACCTTGCTTTGGTGGTAGTAACTAACGATAGGGAAGATTGATGAATAATCTTTCTGGGTCTTACTGTAATTTTATATTTAGTAATGGTCCACAATTTTCGTTTAGATTGGGGTGATGAAGTTTGGTTGAAATTGGGCTCACGCCAATCTCCATTGTTGTCGTGTTTCAAGAACATAAGTTTAATTTTCTCTTCCTTTTGATTTGTCTTGTTAATTTCAAGTACAGCAAGGTTGAGCGCATATAGCATGAATCAATTTCTTATCATGTATTTGCAACACATACAGACCTTTTATCTTGAGTAGCTATAGACGGATAACTATGCTTCTATGATGTAAATCTTCTACTGATGGATACAAGTATAAGAGTTAATGTGGTTGCTTGTTACGACCTTTTGTGCTGACCCATGTGTTGACTTTTAGAGAAACCGGAATTGTTGTTTTTGACAGGTACCAGAAGAAAACAGCACTGCTTGCTCAAGACTTTACTGCTTCCGCCAATGAAGTAAATAAGAAAACTAAGAACCTTTTTTATATGTATCCTCTTCTCGTATCATTATCTTAAGCAAGGTTTTCTTTTCCCAAAAAAGTTTAGGTTGCGCAAGAAACATTGTCTTTGATGAGAACCGTCCGAGCATATGGAACAGAAAGAGAAGAATATCAGAGGTTGTAAAATTTTCTCTAAAGTTTGAATTGGGCCTAGCTAAGTATAATAGCTGAAACTGTTAGAAACTGGCTTAGCTGTATATTATGTAGTGCTCATAACTGATTTATTTGCTTTATGTGATCTGTGTTTAGGTTCACGCACTGGCTAGACAAGTTGGCTTTTGTGGGCATGCGAGAAAGTGTAGCTTGTGGAATCTGGACCCTTAGTTTTAATACACTTTATCGATCAACCCAGGTTTTGCTCTTTTCTGAAGCGATTGAAATTCCATGTTTTACGTTTTAATTCGTGAAATTTGTGTGCAGAAGATTGAAAAGTCGATATATGATTGATCTGTCCTGCCAAACAGATTTTACATATAATCTGTCAAATTATATTTTTGTAGGTTTTGGCAGTCCTTTTAGGAGGAATATCTATTTTGTCGGGTTCTGTTTCTGCCGAGCAATTAACCAAGTATGTTTTATACTGTGAATGGTTGATTTATGCTGCCTGGAGGTTGCAAGACAACATGTCATCCTTACTTCAGTCTGTCGGAGCCTGTGAAAAAGTTTTTCACTTGTTGCATCTTCCACCAAGTAGCGAATTCTTGTCTAAAGGCAAGAGACCTTTTACCCCTGCCATGCACTGTGCTTTTGCTTTATTGCATATTCCACTGTAATGTTTTTTTTCCATCTTTGATACACGTGCTAGACTTTCTCTTAACGACGACACTACATGAATGATATTCCGTTTTACTTTGTTGACTGTGATGGCAAATACTTTAGGAATTCAACTGCCATTGATTCCTACTCTATCTTCGTACAGGAGTAAAACTGGAAAAGCTGAGTGGAAGTATTGAGTTTGTAAATGTGTCATTTCATTACTCTTCAAGGAAGAAGGTACCGGCCAATTACTACTAATATAGTTTAGTTTCCAACTACATTAACTTCTGCATTTTCTGTAAGCTGTTTGTATATTATTAATTTTCTTGGACAGAACCGATATTTACTACCCTGATGTATCGACAGGTTCTTATTTTGAGAAAGGCGAATTTCTCCATAAAAGCTAATGAAGTGGTTGCAATAGTAAGGAATGCAACAGTTTATTTCTCATTGTGTTATTCTTTATAATAATTTGAACACCAAAACAAGTTTCACTTCCGGAAAAAGGTTGGCACCAGTGGTAGCGGGAAAAGCACGTTGATCAGTCTTTTGCTTCGCCTCTACGAACCAACCTATGGAGAGGTGAGTAGTATGTTTCCATCATGTTGCATGTTGTTTCTTTCTTATCAATGTTTCTGATCTCATGATATAACTAGTATAAACAATCCCATAATGGTACTTCAATTATTAGCTGCATTTTATTACTTCTTGAGTACCCCTTTGATAAGAAATCCTGTGCGTACTTGCATTCCTCTTCACAAGATATCCTGTTTCGTGTAATCTAACCTTTGTACATGACCGCTTTCACGAGCTTGTTTTATCTAGGCTTGGGCATGACTGGTGATTTAGATGAAAATATCTGTATTTGCAAAAATCTTTGAACCTTGAATTACATTTCCGCGTCGTAGAAAATGTATGCTGTGTTCAAGTACCACTACTGGTTCTAAGACTAATGTTTTCTGATGAATGCGGTTAATTTTGCAATTTACAGTTGAAAACATTCACATGTTAATGCCAATAATTTGTCATGCTAATATCACCTCTAATGTTCAGATCTTTATCGACGGGGTTCCTGTCGAACAAATGGACATTAGGTGGCTAAGAAAAAATATCGGGTTTGTCGGGCAGGTTCGACTTGAAAAGACTCGCTTTTGGTTAAAGTCTTTTTCCGTAAAAATGATATCTGAAAGTCCTGCATGACTAATTACCAGGAACCCCATCTTTTCCACATGGATGTCAAGTCAAATATAAGTTATGGTTACTCTAGAAGCATCAAACAAGAAGAGATCGAAGCTGCTGCAAAGAAGGCATATGCACACGAATTCATCTCTGCCCTTCCTAACGGTTATGATACTATTATTGATGATAACTTGCTAAGTGGTGGGCAAAAGCAGCGCATTGCAATAGCAAGGGCCCTCCTTAGAGATCCCGCTATTCTTGTACTCGATGAAGCCACCAGTGCTCTTGATGCCGAAAGCGAAGGCTACATAAAGGTTTTTTTTATAAAAGAACTCTCACAATGTGGTTCTTTTTCTTACTATTATTACAAGAAAGAAATCCTAGTTTTCTACAAAAATGTAACTGGTAAACACTCATGGTAATATATGTGCAGGAGGTTCTTCATTCTCTGAAGAAAAACTCAAAAAGGACTGTGATCATAATAGCACAAAGGTTAGTTGTCTGCAGCTTCTTCATAGTTATTGACTTATTGATGAGTGTGAAGTTTGACCAAGTTTTCACAGGCTGTCGACAATAGAAGCAGCAGACAGGATCTTGGTAATGAACGATGGGCAAGTTGTCGATGTAAGGCATTGTGTTTATACTATCTACTTGGTTTTTTTTCTCAACATGAAATTATTCCAACACTCATACCAAGTGCAAAAGTGAAGTCAAAACTGAAACAACCAAATTCATTCGCGCAGAGCGGTAGACATCGAGAGCTCCTTCAAAGAAACGGAGTGTATGGCCGATTATTCGGAATACAGACAGATTGAGAAACTCTACTTCAACGGATGCTTTGTTTTCAGGTGCATTTAGGGGTGGAAATCGGAACAAAATTTCCGATTTCCGCCGATTCCGATCCGAATATTTCCGATTTCGGAACGATTTTTTGTAGTCCGATTTCCGAAATTCCGATTTCCGAATTTTCCGAAAAAAATCGGATCGGAATCGGAATTTAATATAAAATATTTGGAATTTCCGAATTCCGATCCGAAATAATTCCGAAATTTTCCGACATTTTCCGATTTTTTCCGAAATTTTTATGTATAGATAAATTATATATCATACATGTTTTTTTCATACCAAAACTAAGCCACCTCTTTGGGCTGGCCCATGATATTATTTGTTTTACAAATAATAAAAGTTTGATCCCATGAAACTATCCATTATTCAGAAATCAAATATAATCCCTTAATTCAAAGAAACCCTATTTTTTTTTTCTTCTGCACTGCGCCGTTCTGGTGTGCTTCTTTTTCTTTTCAGTTCTTTCTTCTTCTCCGATATTCTGCTCCATTACAAAGGGCGACGCTCATTTCCCCGAACGCCCAAAAGGCAAAGGGGTGCTGGCCAGTAAGCTAATCGTCCATTGATATGAAGGGAATACAAATTCTTGCATTGTGTGTAGAGATTTATCGTCGATTGTTGCTCGTTTTTTGTGTTTTCGATTATTTTTCTTGTTCTTCCCTTTTTTTTTAAAGAAAATTTTGGAATTCCGAAAATTCCGAAATTCCGAAATTCCGAAATTTCCGAATAAATCGGAATCGGAACTCAATTTTTGATTCCGAAATTTTCGGAATCGGAATCGGAAATGAGATTTGGGTTCCGAAAAAAATCGGAAATTTTCCGAAAGGCCCGTTTCCGATCCGATCCGTCCGATTTCCACCCCTAGGTGCATTATAATTATAATCAAAGCTCAGGAAATTAAACTAGTGGAGCATAGATTCTAATATCTTACAATTATTGAGCCTGCACAAAATATTAACACACCACCGAACCAAAACAGTTGAGCTAGATGAGCTCCAGAGCGCGTGTGTTGAAATCGCTGGGTTGTGGGACCTGTTGATGAGGAAGCCCTTTAGCCTCGGCGGGGGCTTCCTTGTTTGTATTTAATAATTTCTCGTCCCCTTTGATTCTGCTATCAGTTTCATCTCCCAATTCTTTGCCCGGCGTCTCTTTTTCGTGGACCTCTTTTTTAGCTTCTTCCTTCTTACCTTCCATCTTCACTTCTACAATTCGATACTTTCTGAAGCAGCTGAACAATATATATATATATATTAGCCTGTGGTGGACACGTGGCGTTGATAGTTGGATGCGAAGTTGCTGCTGATGCCACGTGGGTACTGTGCGTACAGAACAGTCATCGCAATTACCAAAAGTATATAGGTACATATATGTTATAATAATTAGCTTAGTCCCACTTTAACTTGTACTTAATTGGCTTAGCTCCCATATGTTCAGTTATTTAAACTTACATATATAATGATTAAATAACACGAAATCGAATGCGAAGGACGGTTCAATTAGAATGACAGCTTCTCCTTCCGTTCTTAATTAACAGTGGTTTGTTAGCTTTGCACAAGTATTAAATATGTTAACCAAAAAATCCAATTAAGGTCCAAGACTTTCATTACCCAAGCTAGCCCAACTTGTAGCCCAAATTAGTATCTTTGCGAAATTAAATGTTTGACTATGGATCGGTCAAACATTGATATAAACGGTTCTGACCCACTAGATCCTTCCAGATAAAAAAGTTTAATATTTTATAACTTTTATAATATTTTGCTTTTATATTTGTACGAAGTAATCGTAATAGTAAAATACAATATTTTTTAAAACCTATACAAGTAATGTAACATGAACAATAAAATTACTGTCACTAATTATATTTAACTTCAATAATAAATAAAATTCAAATTGCTAGATAATTAGCGGTGGTCGACAAGTGATAAGTATGACTTGCGAGAAATGAGATTCGAAAAAATAAAAAGGTGAAAATAGGTAAATGTGAATAGATAAGATGGAAATTGATAGTTTGATACATGAAATTCGAAATTATATATATTATTACGAAAATGTAGGCATCTGGTTTTACTATAAAAATAAAATTATCGCGACCGTGAAAATAGAAGAGATGCGCGAACTAGTAATATTGCTTTTAATTACTCCTCTTTTCGTTTCAAATTGACCGTAGCTTTGGAGAAATTTTATTGTTTCATATTATCTGCTAGATTAGGATTGTAATGGTATGGATCGAATTTTGTGAACGTTTTGACAGTGCTCCTGCTCCTCACGATTGCTTATAAAGCCGTCGTCATAACATATCAGACATTGATACTTTTTTAATATGAAATTGACATACTTTGGAAGAACCCAACCTTTGATAGCCTTCTTGGTTGAAGATCTGCGGACCCGAAAATGTCTCCCAACCGTAACTTTTTCGTTTATGGTACTGACGTGTTCCTCCAAAGCGTTCGAAGTTCTCTGCCGCTCCAAAGCTGATCGTAGACACAGTTTCGGCGCCAAGTCTGAAACCGGCGCCACCGAGATTGCGATTGTTCAGGCGTTATATATAGCAAATTCTGAAAATTAGAATTAATTCTCCTATTAACAATTGGGCTGAAATGATTAATTATGTGGACTTATAATAATTTATTTTCATATATTTTTATACAAACAACAACATGTGAACGTATGAATTTTACTTTGCTCACACATTTGTTTGTTTGGTTGTTTACAAATTAAATCATACTCCTATATATAGTACTCTACCGTGAAATTGGAGATGGTATTAATTTAATACGACGGTCATGAGTGGCTTGCTAAAGCATTCCATTTTCTAGTTACATTATATAAATATATATAATTAAGAGCTTTCTAGGGACTTCTTAGAACCCTTAATTCATTTGGTGAAGATTGGTGCGGATGTAGATTCATATTTTTTTGTATATAATCTATATCTCTTTTAATTTTATTTTTTGAAGTTATCTTATATTTTTTGTTTGTATTTTTTAATTGATTTTCATTCGATAAATATCAAAAAGAAATTGCATTGCAAAATAAATTAGCAACATGAAATAGAAAACTGTAAACTGCAATTTATAACATTACATTTTTTTATTGTTATTGTTTGCATATCGATGATGCATATCATATTGTTCAGTTTGTTGTTTGTAATTAAATATATGTAGTTTGTTGTTTACAATTAAATGTAGACGATGCATATAATATCTTTTAGTTTATTGTTTGAAATTAGATGATGCATATCGTACGTGTAGTTTTTTGTTTGCAATTATATAATGTAAATTATATTTTCAGTTTGTTGTTTGAAATTAAATAATGAAACTTATATTTTTAATTTGTTGTTTACATTTGACCTATATAGAAGCAATTGTAATTTTTCTAGATCATAGAGGGGGTTATGGCTAATAGTCCCACATTACAATCATCAAGAAAAAAAAAGCCTTACTATATTTCTAACTCATTTTGAAATATAATGTTATCATAACAAACTTGATTTAATATTTTATTATTAAAATGCTATTTAGTAAAAAGAAAATCTATTAAATAGAATCTAGATTCTAGACAAACTATTTTATTATCAAATGCAAAGTGCATTTCTTTTTATGAAATGCTATTTACGGTCACATAATTGCTATTTGCGGTTTATAACAAAATCCCCCAAAACTTTTAAAAATATCCAAAAACCCTCCAAAACTGCAAATAGCATAAAAAAAAATCAAAAATTCGAAATCAAGTTTGAAGAAGGGTTGGGCTTCGATTTTTTGATGTAATTTTGACTGTTTTATGTCTAATATGCATTGGATAGGTCGATCACGTAACCAATTTCATGTTAAAAAGCCCTACAAATCGATTAGTGGGCTTTTTTTCCGCAAAAAACTGTTCGAACGCCCGGAACGGGCTTTCGTACACACCTTGGGCGCCATCTTGGGCGTTCAATTAAAAAAAAAAAAAATTGCACTGGACGCCCAACTCGGACACCTAAATTTACGCGTTTTGGGGGGTTTTTGGATTTTTTTGGAAATTTTTAGGGTTTTAGAGAAATAAAGTATTTTTTTGGGGTTTTGTTACAGAGTATCCGTCGGGTAAGGAGGCGTTAGTA